AATCAAAATACTTGTAATAAACTAAATACAAACATATCAAGGTAATGCTAAACTACTTAAACATTTTATTTAAATTTAAAAAAAAGTATTAGAAAAAATTGAAAAAATCAAATTGTTTTTGTATTATGTGACATAGACTGAACCAACCAGTAAAATGGTTATAATTTCTAAAAGTTATTTTGAGATAAATACCTGTTTCCAGTATCTGATTGAAAAATAGCTAGATGAGAAATAATATTAACTCTTAACATTAAATAATTATTTATATATTAAATTTCAATAGTTAGTTAATTTAATACAATAAAACTTCAGTAAAATAAACTAAAATTGTGTAGTGAACACATCTGTGACCTTGCAAGACTACTATTAAACTGACAATTTTCCTTTAGCCAACAAAACATTAGTTTATTAAAAGAAAAAAAAACTCTGTCTTGGTTTTTCAATTTATCATTGCTATTATTATTAGTATTTATTTTGCATTATTTTATTTATGTAAGTAGAATTCAATATTATTATTTAAAATATAAACATTTAATAGTGTTTTAAATGTCTATTTCATACTTAAGAATTCAGATTGTCTTTGATATAGGCAAGATTACATTTATATAGTTTATTATCATAGTTTTTTTAATATTGCAAAAATATTAAAAACAATAAAAATATTTGTTGTTCTCTAATTNATGCATATTATAAATTTTTTTCCTATTTACTATTCATAGTTTATTATCATAGTTTTTTTAATATTGCAAAAATATTAAAAACAATAAAAATATTTGTTGTTCTCTAATTAATGATGATCTTATCCAAAAATATTCATTTTTGTTTAGGAATTCAGATTTTGGATTTAGTAAGGTTTCTTTTGTTGGAGGTTGAAAAGAAATGAAAAAAAGGCAAGTAAATAATCAAAAATAAATAAATTTAGCTTTATTTTAAAGATAATAATAATTATACTAACCATTAGTATTTATAGATGATACATTTTCTTTTTTTCTGCTTAATGAATTTGTACTGTTTTCTCCATTAATTTCCATAAAATTTGCTAACTCGGTTGAACGACTGATTGCCAATTCTTTGCTTGCCAATGATTTTGATTTATTATTATTACGTTTTATTTCATTAATTTTATTTTGAAAATCTATGGTACTAGAGGATTCTTCTATTACTTTTTCTGATTCAGGAAATTGTTCTGTTTCTACTGTAGACAATATAACTTTTAAGAAAATTAAAATAAAATGCAAAAAAAAACAAACGAAAATAGCTATAAAAAGGAATTTATTATAAATGCTTAAAAATTATTTTTAAAATTTATTTTTACACTTAAACGTCATACTATACAAAGTGTTGTGTTTATTTAAAACAATCAGTTTATCTCGCTAAATATATAAACTTCTTTTGTTGTTATTTCACTACGAATTTCGATTTAAAAATAGCAAAACCCTTCCTTTCTATTCGACATTTAGATTTTTCTATTGATAATAATTGATAAATGATATCTCGTCTATATACAACACGCAAAAACACATCGATTAACTAAACATTGACGACAATTCTTTTTTGAAATTTGCGTGGTAGCAGTATATTTTAATTGGGCTGATCGATAAATAACAATCACTTTAATTATTTCGGTTGTTTTTTATTTATCGATGGAACGAAAAATAAGATTTTCTTCACCTCCGCAACAATAAACTACATTTATAAATTTCAAAAAATCGTAGCGACAGATGTTAGCGGGTTGTTTACAAGAATAGCGATTAAACGTTTTAACGTTGATGATGATAATAATAATTACGCAATGCTTCTATTTTTAATCTCTATATGATTTTACACGTGTATTAAATGGATTCGTATGAAATTTTCATCGTTATATATATATATATATTTGAGGTCAAATCATGTTACCGCTTTTTACACACACAAATTTTAAGATTGTTGATTTTAAAAAAATATATATATATNTGATGTTCCTTCTACAGGCTTATAGAATTGTTTATAGAAAATTACAACATAAGGCCAATTCTCAAAATTTAATGGGCTGATTTTGATAAAATTTTGTCATTTTCCATTAATTGCAATGAGGGTCCATTTAAATGTAAAAAATAGGAGTCCATGACTTTGTTTTTGATATACAGAGGTATTAAATTACAATTGTCCATGCTCTCCGATGTGATTGAACGTAACGAATGAAATTTAGGTCTAAGGGTCAAAAATAAAATCGACATTGCATGTGGAAAATAGGGACAAAAAACAAACAAAACACAAGAACAAAGCAATCGATGACAATTGCTTTGTTCTTGGATAGCATCTCCATGTCGGCAAGTGTAAGGATCGTCTCTCCGTACCAGGCAGGTACAAAGATTTGCAATATATTAAAGATTTATTTTGTATTTTTTAAAATTCCATTTTATTATTATATCATCATCATCTTCAAGCTTTACTTTACTTATTATATCATCATCATCTTCAAGCCACTGGCTGAATTACAGTCTCCGGGGTCACGTGTTTGACATCACTGTCATAAACTATTTAGAATCCTGATCAGATCTTGTTTTTTAAGACTATCACGGGAAAACTCTATCATAGTCTTAGGCTATGATTTTGGGTGCTCAACACAACTTGCAGATGTTGAAAACAATGAAGTGATCCTAGTTTATGCAGTAGTAATTATTAATTCATTTGTAAAAGTTTTATTTTGTAAAAGTAATGTAATCCAATTAAAATTAAAAACTATATAATAAATTTATTCCATTGTAATACTGAAAAAGAAAGTAAGTAAGTACAAATAATATATATCAATATTTATTTTTCTTCATTTTTTTATATAATGTATACCAGTAAATATTACAATATTAATAATGTTTTAAAATTTTAATTTTTATAGTAATTTATTTTTTTAACTGAACAATGATTTTAAAGATGTATATTTATTAAAAACAGTTTTATTTCAGAACTGCTTATTTTTATAAATAAACTACCACTAACTTCAGTCACTATTTTGACTTTTTATATCGTACTACTAAAAGAATAATCTTCCTTCCATTAAACAAGCAAAACCACAGTTTAAAAATATTTAAATGTGAAAATAAACTAAATAAAAACTTTAAAAATACAGTATTTTTAATGTCTACATTGTTGAACTACAGAATTGCTTCTTTGGTCACAGGATATTAGGTATAATTTAGATATTTACAACTATATTTTAAAGTGTCAGTTCATCAACTGATTTCATTTAATACTGTGATCACACTATGACATGGAGAAATATGCACAGATCAAATCATTATGAAATCTATGTAACTTGTATGAACATATAATTTGTGGATATTAGATATTAGAAAATAGATGTATCAAAGTTTGTATTAACTAAAATTGAATTAGGATACATCAGGTTATAAATGCCAACCAATATCAATCATGAATATGTATTTCTGTCAGTCCCAGAAAGAAAGGTCAATCCTTAGGTGACCCAGCATAAATTTTTGGTAACAGTTGAGAATAGTCAAAAAGATGAATAAACTGTCCACTAATGATTTCTGGGAAGTGTTTAAGGAAAGATCTTCAAAAAAACTGAGTCATATTGAAGGAAGAGAGAGGAGAATCATGAGCATGTTTATAAACAGAAGAAGATAGAACCCCTATTGAGTAAGTCTTCATCATCAACACAGGAATATGATCTAGACATACCAAAAATTTATCAGAAGGAAGAGTCTCTGGTATAAAACCTGGACTAAGTGTTAAGTGGAGGAAGGTTATTATTTCCATCCAATTAAATCATGCACCACCATTAGATATCAAGAGATCCTGCAGAGAGAGAGACTATGGACTATTGGACTTGTCTTTAATCCTCTTCATTGTTTGTTTATCATCTTAGACCTTACTATCTACTGACCTCCCAAATATCTTACTTTCTCCAAAAGAAAGTTGATCTTTTTCCTTGATGTGACTCATGCTCTTGCCCATTTTATATGGGCAAGAGCATGACCATCAAGAGATTAATGTCCATTTACATAAATTGAATTGTTGGTTCTTAATAATGAAAGTCAATTAGTGTCATTGTCATCCTGACATAATCAAAGGGTAATTTAATGAAATATATGTAAGATAGAATCACACACTTATAATGTATTAAAAATTCAATTTTCACCTATTGAGTTTATTACAGAAAATATAAGTAATTTACTATTTTTCATTAGCTAATTCACTGGCTAATTCTATTTACTAATACTAAAACGAATAATATAAAATAAAAAAAGCTTTTTACATTCATAATCAAGTTTAAAATTATTTTATAATAACCACATTAACTAATTTTACAATTATTAAAACTCTTCTGCTTTTAATAGAGAAAATATTGATATCAAAATATTTTAAATATAATTATAACAAATATATAAGCTAATATATAATGTTTCATTATTTAATTGTAATGCTAAAGTTTTACATTTATACAAAGTTTCTATTTTTGTGATAAGATAATGTTATTTATATCATAAAACAAACACATCCAAAATTTATGGCTCTTACACGATATGATTACAAATAAAATAAAAAATTAACTTATCATGAGTACAAAAATTCTTACACTAATATAAATTCGAGTTAATTTAAAAAGAAAATTGTATAACTTTTAAAAACTAAATAATGCTAATTAATTATTATTACTGTAAAATAATGATACATCAGTTTTTATAAAGTTTAGAACTATTATTTATTAAAAAAAGAATGCTAATGTTCTTCCACTATTTGATCCTCCATCAGTTTTGAATATAGATTATAATACACAAAACAATATTTGTTTCAAACTTGAAAATTTTAGCCTATCACAATAATTTCTATAAAGATATTCTCATATTTCTTGATCAAACTTTGTACATTTTTACATGTTTCTGAAAATCTAATTAAATCTTTTTCAGTATTCATAAAATGTTTCCAATAATTTCATTTTCATTATGAGTGTACAAATTAAAAAATTAAGACATTTTAAATATTAACTTTGTCATTACCTTTTCATCAATAGAATCTTTAGCCTGACAGTATATGGCATGAGAATCTGTTTCCTTCTTTTCACATTCTATTGGTTTATTGTAACAGGTACAGATACTCGAAGAGAAGCTAGCATCTGTCTTCATTTTAAATGAAAAAAATGATTAGTCATCTTGTTTATTGAACATAGACTTTAAAGAATGTTTAAAGATTGTAACTGAATTATATTAATGTCAAAAAAACTTAAGGTAAATATAATTATATTGATAAATACTAAATTAAGTTCTTTGCTTTTTTTGTTTCAAATGTAATTTAGATATTTAGACATCTTTGAATTAATTAATTAAAGCATAACATTAACATTATTATTTTCTAAAAATATTTCAATGTTAGTTTTCAGAAAAACTGTAAAATATGCTGAAAATATTCATATAAATTCACTTAATATAGAAATTTTTCTTTTTTAAATAATGAATAAATTAATGTTCAGTAATAATTATAAATATTTTAAGGGGCTGTCCATTAATTAGGTGTACTGTTTTGAGAACACTTTTGATCTCCTCACTTTCTGTTGTATACAGCAATGTGCTTTTGGCAAACCATTCCCTTTAATTATATGTGAAATAGTTCATGAAACCCTTAACACTGAAGAAATGATTTTAAAAAGTTCTGCATATGTTTTTTAACTGAGTTTATTCACAAGATTAGTAAGTACAAATACATATGCCATTAACAATGCGCTAACAAAAACAATGTAGATAATGCTTTGACACCCTAAACCTTCTTGCAACCTTCACAAACTGTACTGTACATGTAATTAATGGACAGTCCCTAAATTTAAATTACTAGGCCTAGATTTGGATATTTACATAGCTATTATAATTTAAGGAAAGTATTTAGTTCATTTGTCCTTTCTTTATCTAAATCGACAAAGGATAGATAAACGTCATAACTGTCCATCACTTTACTTCCATGCCTAAATCTTATTGCATGGTAAATATGAAATAACTGTAAAGTGATTGATTGAATAATCAAAAATGATTAAAATATTCAATAAGGAATAATCAGAAGTGATTGAAAAATCAAAGTAAAAGTGAAATTTTGATGATCAAATACTGTATTTAATTTCTTAAATACAGTCTTTGAAAACTAGACATATTTTCAGATTATTTACAACTGAATATTAAAAAATGCTTTAAGTTGAAAATGAATGTAAAATTTCAAATAAGTTTTTAAGCAATTTTTTTACTAATTTTTTAAAAATGTAATATTTCATTTATAGTACATTGCAAAAGCATCATATTTTTCAAAGTCTTTATCAATATGGTGATTTTTAGTCTTATATATTTTGAATAATCTTATTGGTAAACAGAAATCAGTTCTCTGAGTATGAAATGAACAAATAGAAAAAAACATTTAATATAGAAACATATATTTTTCTGTCCTGAATGTTTATGCTTTTATCTGTTCGATTTCTAATAACAAATAACATTAAATGTGGTATCATCATTTTATGAAATGAATTGCACAGTCTACTGAGAACTGTTAAATACCTTAAGAGTATCTTCATATTTATCAATAAATATTTTCTTATGATGTTGACATACAGTCAATCCGGGATGATCAATATTAATTCCTGTTCGTTCCTTTAGTAAATTTTGTTCACTTGTCAAAAGCTTCTTTATCAAACGAAGTCCAACAAGATTGGTATGCAAAGTTTTGTGGCATGGTCCTCCTTTTTGAGTATGATCATACACTGAACATGTCTGCAATTTTAACTGGAAAAAATTATCTTAATTCAGTAATTATAAATTTTCATTATTCTTATAGAACAAATGATAGAATTTATTAAAACCTTTGGTGGACTAGGGCATTTTACTTCAGTTAGAGAAGGACACACTGTAAAAGAAAAAAAGCAAAATGTTATTATTCATTTGAAAATTATTTAAAATAGTCTTTTTGAAAAAATTTATTTTTCAAATTAAATACTTTCAGAAAATGTTGAATAATCATTTAGTTATGATATTAATTTTAGGAATTTACAGTTTTGTATAAAGATCTTTATTAACAAATATTAATACATTAATTATTTTTAGTAATAAAATTGTTCACAAATTTAATTTTCAAATTTTATATTGTATTCAAGATTAAATTCAAACTTATTTATAAATGAATAATTAAAAAGAACTGTTGTTTTGAAGCAAAATATAAATGGTGTATTTTGATAAAATTTTGTAAATAAAGAAAAAAAAAAATCAATACTTACTCCAAATATGATTTTATAGCCATAAGCAAAAGAAAAAAATTCACATAAGCAAAGTTTCATTAAAATAACTAAGACATTAATAAATATATATGTATATATTTTTCAATAATTACTAACCTTTAAGTTTTTTATGATTTGATTTCTTTTCTGTTTCCGTAGAACTAGAAGAAGTGATGCTAATACAGTCAACATCTATGTGATCTTCTGGTAACTTTCGTTTAGACCGATGGCGATATTTGACATTGCATACCATATCATTATTTATTTCTAAGAAATCAGAAAAAAATTAGAAAATAATTGTTTATCATCCGAGTAATAAAAATTTTATAAATTATATGTATTTAATTTGTGTCTGTTATTAATTTAATTTATAATTATGTTCGTAAGCTTCAATGTATCTCTGATGATGAAAATTAAACGTTTTTAATATGTAGCCTTCTAAAATGTATGTATTGTATATTTATAGAATTCACAATTTCTTTTTTTTTATATTATCTTTCTTTCATATAAAAGATAGCTTTTGCTGCAATGTTTTGAAATGAAAATTCAAAATACATAAAATTCATAATTTTATAAACAGAACTTAGCTATAAATTTCTACAAGAATGTCCAATATGAAATTTAAAAATTAAATTGCAAAACCTTAAGAAATACTTCAAAATTTATATAAAATTATTAACTGATTTAATCATATTTGTTTTTTTTCCTATGAAAATAATTATGTATTTATAAAACCTACTAGAATATAAAAAGATAAAATGTAATAACTTTTAAGAAAATTAAAATAAAATGCAAAAAAAAACAAACGAAAATAGCTATAAAAAGGAATTTATTATAAATGCTTAAAAATTATTTTTAAAATTTATTTTTACACTTAAACGTCATACTATACAAAGTGTTGTGTTTATTTAAAACAATCAGTTTATCTCGCTAAATATATAAACTTCTTTTGTTGTTATTTCACTACGAATTTCGATTTAAAAATAGCAAAACCCTTCCTTTCTATTCGACATTTAGATTTTTCTATTGATAATAATTGATAAATGATATCTCGTCTATATACAACACGCAAAAACACATCGATTAACTAAACATTGACGACAATTCTTTTTTGAAATTTGCGTGGTAGCAGTATATTTTAATTGGGCTGATCGATAAATAACAATCACTTTAATTATTTCGGTTGTTTGTTATTTATCGATGGAACGAAAAATAAGATTTTCTTCACCTCCGCAACAATAAACTACATTTATAAATTTCAAAAAATCGTAGCGACAGATGTTAGCGGGTTGTTTACAAGAATAGCGATTAAACGTTTTAACGTTGATGATGATAATAATAATTACGCAATGCTTCTATTTTTAATCTCTATATGATTTTACACGTGTATTAAATGGATTCGTATGAAATTTTCATCGTTATATATATATATATATTTGAGGTCAAATCATGTTACCGCTTTTTACACACACAAATTTTAAGATTGTTGATTTTAAAAAAATATATATATATATGTTAATATGCGCTTGAGACTTTTTTCGATATAAATATTAACGTTATAACTTTTTTAATATATATATATTTACGGCATTATATATTTAATCAATATTTTCCGCCTGTACTTTGTTTTATTTTTCGTAGAAGGAATAATTATCGGGAATATGCCAGATTGAATTATTGCTATAAGTAGAATATTTCTTTCTTTTTTTATTATTTTTTTAATAATTTTTTTAGTCATTTCTTTCTTCGTAAAAGCAAATAGAATACTTAAAAATATTTCGAATTTATTTTTGTAACTTTAGCAATTAAAATTACACACAAACAATGATTATTTTATACGAATCTTAGGAATTTCTATTTATAACCGGACAGAAAAATTAGTACTTTAAATATACGATATTTTCCTATAAATATTGATATATGTTTGAAACTGGAGGATTAATAAGGAATCGCGACTTCTAAATTAAAAACGACATTTCTAATTTTCTTTTTCTTTTTTTTAAATAACAATTAACAACTATATGTTAATGCAATGATAACATTAATTTTAAAACTCAACTATTGAAGTTTCTTTTTGTAAAGTAATTAAAATCTGGTTTAATAAAAATAATTTCATAAAAAAATGTCTAAAAATGCTAAAAATAACGAAAATCTATAAAAATTCTATTAAGGTTAGAAAACATCAACTTTCATAAATCAAGAATAAAATCAAAATACTTGTAATAAACTAAATACAAACATATCAAGGTAATGCTAAACTACTTAAACATTTTATTTAAATTTAAAAAAAAGTATTAGAAAAAATTGAAAAAATCAAATTGTTTTTGTATTATGTGACATAGACTGAACCAACCAGTAAAATGGTTATAATTTCTAAAAGTTATTTTGAGATAAATACCTGTTTCCAGTATCTGATTGAAAAATAGCTAGATGAGAAATAATATTAACTCTTAACATTAAATAATTATTTATATATTAAATTTCAATAGTTAGTTAATTTAATACAATAAAACTTCAGTAAAATAAACTAAAATTGTGTAGTGAACACATCTGTGACCTTGCAAGACTACTATTAAACTGACAATTTTCCTTTAGCCAACAAAACATTAGTTTATTAAAAGAAAAAAAAACTCTGTCTTGGTTTTTCAATTTATCATTGCTATTATTATTAGTATTTATTTTGCATTATTTTATTTATGTAAGTAGAATTCAATATTATTATTTAAAATATAAACATTTAATAGTGTTTTAAATGTCTATTTCATACTTAAGAATTCAGATTGTCTTTGATATAGGCAAGATTACATTTATATAGTTTATTATCATAGTTTTTTTAATATTGCAAAAATATTAAAAACAATAAAAATATTTGTTGTTCTCTAATTAATGATGATCTTATCCAAAAATATTCATTTTTGTTTAGGAATTCAGATTTTGGATTTAGTAAGGTTTCTTTTGTTGGAGGTTGAAAAGAAATGAAAAAAAGGCAAGTAAATAATCAAAAATAAATAAATTTAGCTTTATTTTAAAGATAATAATAATTATACTAACCATTAGTATTTATAGATGATACATTTTCTTTTTTTCTGCTTAATGAATTTGTACTGTTTTCTCCATTAATTTCCATAAAATTTGCTAACTCGGTTGAACGACTGATTGCCAATTCTTTGCTTGCCAATGATTTTGATTTATTATTATTACGTTTTATTTCATTAATTTTATTTTGAAAATCTATGGTACTAGAGGATTCTTCTATTACTTTTTCTGATTCAGGAAATTGTTCTGTTTCTACTGTAGACAATTCATCATTTTGAATTTCAAGTGTATAGCAAGGTTCTGGAATGACAGTAACTTCTGAAGATTGTATGTCTGTGTCATTATTATTTATTGGGACACAGTCTAAAACAGGCATTGAACTGTTTATCACTATCTCTTCTGAAGATTCTTCAATTGGAACAAATGTTGACATAGATCCTATGTCAACAAATGCTGATGGCTCTATTTTTTCTATATCTTCAACAATACCTTCAGCATTTACTGTTATTGTTACAAAAACTCCATCATCTCCAGCAGCTTGCTTCTCAGTGATTAACTCTCTGAGTCTATCGCCTGCTTTTTCTGGAGTTAGTTTACCATCCTTTTTTTCAAAATTAATATTACTACTACATTCTGAAATTTTAAAACTGTTTGTTTCTAGATTACTGTTTATTGCATAAAAATTCTTTATTTTTCTATCATTATTTGAAATATCTCTTATATCTTCAAAATGATTCCTTTCAATTGATTTACTAAGTTTTAAATATTCTTCATTGGATATAGGTTTGGTGTATGCATGTTCTATTTCTTCTTGTCTACTGTTTTTCCTTTCAATAAACAATAAATGCTTACTATTGGAAATTTTATTAGATGCATTTATTTCTTTATAAATTCTACTATAATTTTTAATTAAACTATTTTCAGTTTCATTTTGATCTATATCTGATAAATTAATGTAATTACTTATTTCTTCATTATCGATAAGAGATCTTTCTATGTTTTTATTTGTATACGAAATGGATGCTGAATCTAGTATATCTAAAGAATTATGATCACTCATTTCATGCATATTATCACTTTCTACATTATCTGCATAAAGTTTCTTTTTATTGACATGCATATTATAAATTTTTTTCCTATTTACTATTCTAGAGTTACTATTTAATTTTTTATCTAACTGAATAGATTTAGAATTAATATTTTGAGCAAATTCTTGAGAATTTTTAATATAGGAAAGAGATATTTCTGAATTCATTTGTGAATTTTCTTTTGTGTTTGGTTTTGTAGAATTAAGTTTATCCATTTGAGTAAATACCAATTGATTGTTTTTAAATTTTTTATTTAATTCTTCACCACAATTAAAAGAACTATATTCTGAAGAAAAGGATGAGTAATTATCATACACAGAAATGTCTGAAGGCCATTTTTCTTTAACAAGATTCTGTTCTTCTGAATGATTAACATTCATTTCTTCATCATCATGAATAATTTTTGTAGCTTTCTTTCTTCTTCTGCGAACAGTAAGATTATATTTACCACCTTTGAAGTATCTTCTTCTTCGCCTCTTACGTGGAATGTTTTGCCGCTGATCTGGCATCACGAAAGGGTCAGTAAACTGTGATACTAAGTTTGGCAGTTGATCCTCCGGAATTCTCTTCATTAAAGATTTTTGAGAAATTTTATTTTTCTTTTTAACAAGTTTGAATAGATTGTCAGTTTGAAGTTTTCTACCACCTTCACATAATGTATGTAATTTTGATCTTGTAATTCTTCCATGAGTAGTAAATTTTTTATAACTGGAAGACGAATTAGATAAAAGTTTTGAACAATTTGATGATTTTTGCATTTTTTCATTTACTTCATCCGAATTATCATTCATCAATATTATTCCACTTTTACTCAATTTTCTTCTTATTACATCACTTATAGACATTTTCAATATTGGTGTCATTGCATTTCTTAATTTTTCCCTACTGCTTTTATGACCCATTTCATTACTACTATTATACTTGTTTGTAAAACTGCTAAGAAATCTTTGACATGCATCAATTCTTTCATTAATATTATTTTCTTGTTTGATTTCAATTATTGGTATGTCAGTTATTCTTTTATCATCTATTGCACTTTGAGTTTCACTGCAATTTACTGAATGACAACTGTGTTTATCTATTTCATTAAGACTTTCACCATCACTTAAGATTTTCTGATAATCACTACATGATAAGTCTATTGTTGATTCATCACTATTTAAAATATTCTGATCATTAACTGTTTGCGAGTTTACATTAGATCTTAATATTTCACTTAATGATGTTTTCATCAAAGGACTTAATAATGTTTTGATCTCATTCTTATCACAGACTTTAAAACAGTTTTCTGCAAGAAATCTCACTCTTTTTGGTGTTATTTTATATCTGTCCCAATGTTGTGGTTTTTCTTGATTAGTATTTACAACCGACTCTTGTATTACAGTTTCATTTTCTGTTGTACGTTTTGCTGGTGCTTCAATTTTAGATTTTAACATATCTCGAAGGGGTGCTTTTAATACTGTATTCAGGACCATTCGCACCTTTTCTAACTTTAAAGAAGTAATATCTAATGACACTGGCTTACTGAAGTAACTATTACTTAATTGTCTTATATCACTTTTATCTTGAATATAATTTCTATTTGATGTTACCTGAGTTTCTGCACTATTTAATACTGAATTAGAGGAATCGCTTTTTTTTACAAAACATAAATTAACTTCCTCATTAGTTGAAGAATTTATTTCACACTTTGAACTATTAGGGTGATTCATATCTGTACATTCTATAGAATGTTTTTCTGTCCTATTAAGTAAGTCAGGTTGATTAATTTGATCAGAATTTTCAATTACTTTCACCAAATCTGAAACATTATCACATTCCATTTTTACTGGCACATCATGTCCATTTATTTTATTAATTGGAATGGAATTTTCCTTAAAATCCTCAAAAATATCCACACAATCGGTAACATGTCCAGGCATTTTATCAGTAATCACAGATGTTAAATTTTCGCCCTTCATTCTTCAATTCAATTCATTATAATTTTATTAAAGTTTTTATAGATAATTTTCTAAAAATTCACATTTTATTTGAGAATTCAAAAAAGTAGATTTTGTTTATAAAAAAAAAAATTATTAAGTTTTTATTTCACACAATATTTTATATATAAATTCTGCTTCAAATTTGTACTTCAGTCACGTATTACAAATTCAAGTACTTTTAATGTTAATTTATATTAATATTCTTATATGCTAATCAAAAATGAAATTATACATTGATTTTAGATGATAAAGCTGTAATTTAATATGATATTCTTGAGATTCTGATGAGAAATTTTCATGGAAATCTTGATATCTGAAAGAAAAAAAATGTACATATAAATATATTTTATAAATTCTTTTTGTTCTAAATAAAAACATAAATAAATAATAAACATATATATAATTATAAATTTTTAAAATTATAAACTAAACTAAATCTTTTCAGTTCCAAAATTTACTTTGCTTTGCAGTTAGATGTTTTCAGCTATGTGTGTGAAATAAATTACTATTACTAATTACTAACTAATCTGTAAATTTGAAAATCTATTAATGTAATTACTAATATAATGTTGAAAAATATTTATAATGTCGAATAATTATAATTCCATAATGATAACATCTGTAACATTTCAGTAAATGTATTTTAATTAAGTTAAACTTCTCTGTAAAGTGCAGAATGAGAAGAAAATGTACAGAATATAAGAAAATAATTGATATTATTATTTCGTTCGCAACTTATTATAATTTGTACGAATGTCCACAAAATAATAATTGGAAGACAAATTATTCCATCTGAATTTAAATCAATAAAATTAATTATTCTTCCTCGTTATCGATTTTAAACGGGAAAACGATTTCTCATAATAATTTGTATATAACTGACAATACCGATTGATTAGACGTTTATTCGGAATTTTGTCTATATAATAAAATCAAAAAATTCGACTAAATAACGTAATAAATCATTTGTTTTATTTCGATTATTTCCGTAAACATTCGCAAATATTGTAATAACATTTTTTTTTTATTTTCAAAATACAGTAAACTCCAGTAAGGTTGCAGAGTTTCGAGACAGCGGGGTGTGTTTTTACCTCTCACGTATAAAATGAGAATAGAACTACGATGAATATCCAGTACAGTAATGTATTACAATCAATTGTATACAGAAATTATACTGCTACATTTATTATAACAGGAAATAAACTAAAAAAAAAAAACATCTTCCCCTTCCATATAAAAATATAGAAAAATGAATATAGTAATTAGCATTGTTTTATCAGAAACATTATCGCGATGTTTCTTAATCTCATTTTCGATGTATACAATTACTAATTCTTATTAGAAATTTGTGAACCGAATTAACAGTTTATGATAATTATTAATATTAAAAATTAATGTGTAATTTGTATCATAGGAATTGCTATCATTTTTTTCCGTAACTTTACCTTATTAAATTATATTTAAATATTTATAATTATTATTAATTTAATTGTAACGATAAATTGCATCTAATATTTCTTTTATGAATTAATTTAATATAAAAACAATGCTATAGAACGAAATTTCACTGAACGATTAAAATATCAGTACAATTTGAAACGTAAACTGACACCAATTTTAATCATTAAGAATGATTATAGAATAACATTTCACGTCTAACATTTTAAATATTTCTATATTTTTATCTTGTTGTCATTAGATATTTTCACTTCTCGTTTCTTATTTGCTTTATGCAGAATTACGCAACTTTACTTATGTTTCCTGGTGTAGCAGAACTTGCCAAATTACCATTTTATATTCGTTCCTTCGTAATTTTTCAAGGCCGAAAATCGTAGACAGTTTACGTTATTTAAGAATTACGATCAGCACTAATAAACTAAATTTCGATTCGTTTATAGATATTAATTTCGTGTACGTTTCTCCAAGTTATCCGAAAGAAAAAAGAAACGTGTTCTATTTAAGAGAGATCAAAGAGAATATCAGCAATTATTACTTATAATTTCGGCACAGGCAAATATTTAGTCTACAGTAAATATCAATGTTTAACGTTTTATCATCTTCCCTTCTGATATTATAACGTTTAGAAGCGTATCGTATATAACCTATCAAGTTTTTAGTTTATATATTTTATTAATAAAGAGAAATCACTGAAACGAAATAACGTAATATCAGCGAAACAAAATGAGAAAATTATAAATGTAAAGCAATGAGTTTTTTTTATTTTTATGAGAGAAAAAGTACTGTCAAAGAAAAACTGTTCTTTCAAGAGTACACTGATGAAATAATGAACTTATATACGAGAGTTCTGATAACAATCTTTTATCTAACAAATTATTATTTTATTACTCGACAAATTGTTCTTATTACAAGTTGTAATGATTATCGTATTATAAACGAGTATGTTTCGCTTATTTGTCATTTCTATCGCAACTTTCTCCGCTCAATTAAACTTGAATTGCGAAATTTATTTATATAAAATGAGTACGAAATATACTATAACTAAACCTTGCATTAAAACAATTATAACACAATAAACTATTTTTTTTAAAAATCTTTTAGTATTTAATATATAGAGAAATACGTTAAGATATCTGTAAAAGTTACATCATATTCTTAACAAATTATCTCCATTATTAATTGTTTGATTAAGAATTACAGAAATAAAAATATAGTTGAACTCTCATCATTGATCATGTTTAACAACGAAAATTATTTACTATTTTGTACACGTTTGGAGGAAAATTAGAAGTGATTTAAAGCTTAATTTTAAATTGTAAAGCGAAGAAAAATAATTACAAAACTTGTATAATAGTTTGTGTTATCAGGATAAAATTAACTCTGATAGATTAGACAGTTCTATAAAAAAAAAAACCTTATTGTTTATTATTTTAGATCGAAAACTTAATTCAATTATTATTCATTTTAAAATCATTTACTTATTATATTTGGATTATAACACTGAAGACAATAAAACAAGTAAATAGATGCGGTCGAAAGCTTTTAATGGAATGACTTTTTGTTCATTCGATTTATCATTATTTAATGATAAAACGAATAAACGGTCATTCATCAACTGCAGAAATAAAACTAAAAAAAAACTATTACTGTACAATGAATATAAATTTGTATATCAATTTTCCATGGTAACGTCGCTTTATCAAATAAAATTCTTATATCAAATTATGAAAAGTTTTTCTTCTTATCTGTGAAGACAGTTCGTTTATTTACAATTCTGATTTTTGTTTCTGTTGGTAGGATGGGAACTCAATAAGAACAATCGGTGGAAGATTTTTACTCCGAATTATTAAGAAAATAAATTGTAATTTACCTTTAATTCTGATAAAACGAACTTGAGCAATTGTTCAAGGTCAGTAGTTATTATTATTATGAATACACGATATTTTACATACGTTGTTTTGCAATATAAATTAATTTGAAAACTTGAATTTTTTTTAAATTATTTATTTTCACAAAAACCGCCGAAATTGTCGAAAGTTAATAATTCAAAAATAAACCTTTCAAACTTCAATTAAGAAAGTTACAGTAAATACAAAATTCCGAAAAAAATCTGATGTTTTATCTGTTACGAAAACACGAATTACATAATGGTTCATGTTAATAACAAAGCACCATAAGAAAAAAATTATTAAAAATCAAATGAAACTGAAACCCCTCCATCAGTATAAAGTCACCGAACACCGGTCATAGGTTCGCGCCTCACCAACGGACTGACCACGTAGAGTTTCTCCGATTTATTTCAAGTATCTAACACCTAAATAGAAGTCAGATTCCCATAGAAATTGCTCGTGGGAGGAACTCACCCTTGGCAGATTGTGTTGCCTCGTGAGAGAAATTCTTTCGGTTTTTAATCCATATCAATATACAGTATGTCGAATTAATCGTTTTATTTTAAAAATCAAATAGAATAAATTACTTTATTGCATTAAAATATTAAAAGGAATACTACAAAACAATGGTGGCCAAACTTTTCGGGACAAACTTGTGTACATCTCATATACTAGAAGTAGGTCTATTGCTATCATTTATAAATGGTGTGTCAAATGTTTTCGCGGGCGGATTTAGCCCGGGGTACCACCGCTAAAAAAATGTGTGGCTACGGTAATTTATTTTAAATCAGTGTTTCCCAAAATCAGAATACGAAAGAACAAAAAACAAAAGAAAATTCATTAGTTTTCAAATCTTTATTATTAATATTTAAATGAAATGTTTTATTGTATAATTTTGAATAAGCGATCATGAATTTGATGAGATACTTGTTATGAAAGACATCTTCATGCAAGGGCAATGTATTCATACTTTATATTCAAGGTGAACTTCAAAATAAATTACTGAAAACAGCCGGTCCCTAAGTAGAAAAATGTGTGAAAGACTGTTCTATGGAGTTATTTCGTCTATTCTGTCTAAAATATTTAAATACAGATTTATTGTTTTCATTGAAGGCGTTGGATTTATACGAAGTGTTAATTCACAGGGCACTAGTAACTGTAATGTATTGACTAAAGTAGTAGTGTCAATGGTGTTAAGAAACTCGTCTTGGTTAATTATGCAGGCGTAATAGTATATTATTTGCAATAAAACGTTATAATAAAAAAAATTCATGTTTAATATGATAATTCTGTTATCCTTTTAGATAAAATACAGGCTTTAATAAATAAACTTTAGTATTAAAAATTGAAAGTCTGAATAAAATATCAGGTGGAGAATATTCGCACAAATTTAGAAATCAAATACTTCACGAATTTACAACGAAAAACATTTGGTCATTTGACAATATACAGGATAAATAAGATAACCTTTTACGTTTAGGAGTATAAAGTATTGGAGATAAGAAACAATTTGAATCATTCTGTACATGATTTTTATTTTTAGTAAATCGTAATTATTATTAATAATGTTACATAAAATAATATATGGTAAATGGTACAATTATTGGCCATTTCAAATTTAAACCTCTTTAAAAAATTCCTACAAAAGCTATTCTATATTAATACAAGTTTTTACTATCATTAGGTAAATCCCGCATATTTTTCTGTCATTGGACACAATTCTTCATTTTCAAAAACAAAGCACATTTTGAATTAAACGATTGGCATTTGTAATTTCTAGTATTTGACAACAGAAAAGCTATAAAGAAAATAATAAAAACCCACCGTATAAGTGTAATATTTCCCGATCTAATCTTTCTGTTATGTCATAGAATTTTTAAAATGAAAATTTCTTTACATGGCTAATATAACTTGTACCGTTTATCCTATTGTATATGTTTGTTTTACTCTGTACATTACGTTACGAAAACAAAAATGTTTCTTCTAATATTGACTAGATCTACTTCTTAATATCCTGCTTCGTGTTTTTACATTTTCATTTGTTTGTAATATACTCACGATAATAAAAATTATATAATATGGTAATGTTTATATTAGAATTACACGTAGAAAATGATTTCTAAGTAAATGTCATTCTACTGATTTTATAAATTCTCAATTCTACGTATTCTGACACATTCTTGTTTTATAGTTATTTATTTTAGATTAACTAAACTACGAATTTTTGATTTCCAAATGATTGAATTCGAGATTTTAAAACAAGTAACAATACTTCTTTCGTAGTGATAATGAACCTGTTGGAAGTGTCACACGATAAACTCGTCAACCTGCAGCTAAGAGAGACATCTGCAATTTAAATGAAATTCTAATCAATTTGCTATTCATTCTAAAAAAAAAAGAAAGAAATATTTAACAATTTATATTTTATTATTTTTACTTTCGAAAATTATTTTAAAAAAACATTAATATTAAATAATTTATCACACAATAGATAAATTAATAGATGGAAGAATTATAGACAATTAAACTTTCAAATAAATAAATTTAATTAAAAATATTTTTTTACAATTAGAAAATATAATTCTATATACATATTATATAGACGATAAAAGTTTTATATATTACATAAGTGAATTTTAAAAAGGAACAATACGTATTTGCTACACGAATTATGAAAATTCAACAATTGGATATTATATAATATCGTTTTCTTAATATTTTTCCTACTGTGCAATACAGAATCTACATCTGTGTTTTGCCTTGTACGGGATGATCTGGAAGTCGTTTGACATAAATACACGAATGCGTAAGCAAATACAAAAACCATACTAAATTAAAGGAAAAATCCCTGTCCGCCATTGCATAAAAAAATAAATAACATTTTATATATTCTTGGCACTACAAATGGGTGCCATGCTGGAGGACTTCTCCGCTATACTGTATTTTTCCGAGCCATAAAAGAAAAACGACAGGAAATAAATCTGATCTTTAGTTAAACTGATCGGTAATTATTTACGAAATAATATCGATAAAGTAAAATAAAAACCAGAACGAATTATGACACCAAAATTCGTGTTTGTTCTGTCGTTACGAATATTTATTTTTAGTAATATCCCAAATGCAATCTTTGTGAAAATTATCAATATAGAATTATTACGTTAAACACGGTTGAAAAATTAATTAAAAATTGTTTTTTTTTTAAATTGTTAATGTGAAATATAACCATCTACTTCTAAAGAAATGAACATTAAATAACAATCAAATACTATAAGATGGTGACTCTACGTTTACAAATAGAAAAATAATTATAAGATTGAATTTAAACCTAATATTATTGAATTTAAGATCGAAAAATATTGCTGATTTTAATGAAAATTTTCTCGAATCTATAGGATATAGAAGATAAGGTCTGTAGGAACGTCAATCTCCTTCTCGTGGGTCTAAATCTTCCTGTAATAACGACACAGTTTAAATTACAAAGTCAGAACCTCTCAAAACCAGTATATATAGAATATTAAAAGCAAAATGTTCTGTCACGGCCGCATACAATTTAGTCTTACTTTTTTATAATTATTTTTAAACGTTTTTCTCCTGTTAAATACTTGAAAGAGGCTGGATACCGTAAAAAAATGAGTGAGGNATTTTAATTTCTAACTTTTTATTTGCGCAAAATTTTATTTTTTCGATTATGAAATAGTTAAACAAATCTCGATTATTTAAATATAAAAATTTAAATTGTTAAGCGATAAAGCGTATCCAATTATTATTATACGGGTCTCAGAGTGCCATTTTCCCTCCGAAAAAGTCAGTTGAAATGCAGAAACAGTGGGTAAAAAGTGAATGTAATAGTGACAAAAAAAAGCGAAAACATGGAAGGAAATCTCAGCAAAATAGTAGTAAAAGTTGTTTTTTTCCCCCTCTCTTTTTATTCTGTTATGACTAAATACATTTTAAAAATTTCTGTATGTATTGTAATACAGTAGCCACTCGTTATATCGCGGATTCGGATATACCGCTTTTTTCCGCCCTCCAAATTTTAAAATACCAATTGCCATTGAATTTCTATNTGAAAATTTTCTCGAATCTATAGGATATAGAAGATAAGGTCTGTAGGAACGTCAATCTCCTTCTCGTGGGTCTAAATCTTCCTGTAATAACGACACAGTTTAAATTACAAAGTCAGAACCTCTCAAAACCAGTATATATAGAATATTAAAAGCAAAATGTTCTGTCACGGCCGCATACAATTTAGTCTTACTTTTTTATAATTATTTTTAAACGTTTTTCTCCTGTTAAATACTTGCAAAAGGCTGGATACAGAAAAAAAATGAGCGAGGAACTTTGCGAGCCTTGAACACACGGAAGATTTGGCTTAATCGGGCGAAAATCCTATGAAATTCTATATTCAAAAAGTCCTTGATAGAGTTCTGTTTTTAATCATCGGTTGGAACTGTTTTCAACATATGTACATATATAATTAATATAAAAAAATATAAAAATTTAAATTGTTAAGCGATAAAGCGTATCCAATTATTATTATACGGGTCTCAGAGTGCCATTTTCCCTCCGAAAAAGTCAGTTGAAATGCAGAAACAGTGGGTAAAAAGTGAATGTAATAGTGACAAAAAAAAGCGAAAACATGGAAGGAAATCTCAGCAAAATAGTAGTAAAAGTTGTTTTTTTCCCCCTCTCTTTTTATTCTGTTATGACTAAATACATTTTAAAAATTTCTGTATGTATTGTAATACAGTAGCCACTCGTTATATCGCGGATTCGGATATACCGCTTTTTTCCGCCCTCCAAATTTTAAAATACCAATTGCCATTGAATTTCTATTTGCAACAAAATACAGTATTCATATTTCTACCATTATCCTTAAAACTACCACTTAAGGTGAAACAAATTCATCAAGATCTAAATATGCAAAACAAATAGACATATCAATTGTCATTTGTTTCCTTTTGATATTAAAAATTGTTTATTTATTAATTTTAAATACCATCTCCTCGTTTACAAGTTTCTGTAAATTCGAAATTTCACACCTTTATGAAAATTGACGGTATTGCGTCAATTCACATAAAGATATGAAATTTCGAATTCATTGCATAATGTGTAAGAAAAAAGATTTCTTTAATTCTGAACGAAAAGTTTTTATACGGAACTAACTTTATTTTGTTTTTGTTTTTTTAGAGAATTTTTATTCTCTGTAATTTTATAAGTTTTGATGGTTATATTATATGTTCCATATTTATTTTTAAAAATTTTCAATAAGTGATTTATTGTGAAAATAAATCGCTTATTAATTAATCCCTCGGCATAGCGTGTTTTTCCCTACAAAGGAATTTTCATAAAAAACAGCCAAAAACGTAGGAATGCTTAAAATACTTATTTTTAATCCCCATAGATAGAAATGCAACTTTAGAGAAACTTGAGAAAATGACCTGAAAGGTGAGAAAAGTGAGGCTACCTCAAAAAAGTGAGTACAAGTGAGAAAGTGAGTGACTCCGAGACCTGTTATATTATAATCGAAAAAATTCTCATTGCAACCCATGAATCGGCAATTAAATGCGTTATAAAATTCAGTAGTGTTTCTTAACCTTTTTAAGTGATAGACACCTCCATGAAAAACTCAAAATGCGGTCTCACACCCCTTAAATATTGTGTTCAAGATGATAAAGATACCGAGGTACTACCCTCGGTACTTTTATTACCATGACATTGTGAGGGTCCTGGACATCGTCGTAGAGTTTTCAATTTATCGTGGGCTCAGAGTACCCAGTAAGCAGAGTCAAATTTATATAGCATAAGACAGCTTTCAATTTTATATTATACATTTAAAGGTTAAAAACCTATCATTATCGTTCGCATCCCCGTAAATGTTTCCCCACGTAAAAAACACTGATCAAAACCATCGATGAAGAATCCTTTTTTTTCTGAAGGTGGGTCAAAGTTCAATTTGAAGCTTAGTAACTCCAAATTGCGGGTTAAATATTCAATTTGATTAATTAAGAAAATAACGAAAAGCTTTATTTATTTCACTTTTTTAATCTATATCAAGAAAATAACAATAAAATTTATACGTGTTTAATGATGGGAAACATACTGTTGTTTATCTGATGATAATTTTCCTGGTTCATAATTATACCAATTGATTTGCATCTACTAAAGTACGTAAAACAAGAAGAAAACCATATTTTTATTTTAAATCTTATGCACATTATTAACATTACTCATTAGGACATATCAGGCAATAGTTAACATCTTCAAATAATGCTATTGAAATTCATATTATTCGGCAAGTTTCCGACAAAATTAGGATTAAAATGATAATGAATATCGACGATCGACTATCAAATGTCAACGAGAAAACTGTTTATACATCATTGACGATGACTGTTCGTTACTTCTCTAGTTTTCATCCAAGTTGATCGATTTGCCGGTGAATCAGATCTTTCCATAATATGCAAAATTAAGACAACCAAATAACGTAACGAATATAATGAGAACAGATTAATAATTATTGAAATAATGTAATTGTTTATATATAAAGAAATATCGGGAGAATAATTGGAAAAATCGAATGAACAGGGGAGTAAAAGTCCGAAATGAATTTCGATTTTAAGTAAAAGATTTTATAAGAAGTCTGAATTGTCGATTAAATAGACCATTATGACAAATATTGGTAAAAGTGGATGGAGTATCCCATAAAATGTCAATTCATATCGTTAGCTTTAACAGTTGCATTATTATTCTGCTCTAGACCAGCGTTTTTCAAACCGGAATCAGTTGACTAGTTCCAGAAAGATCCACGAAACGTAATAATACAGTAATAATGCATATACATTTTTCTAAAAATATATCGAGAGAATCAGATCTGATCGATAGAATAAAGCAACGCTACACTTGAACGATCTGCCAAGGAAGAGGTGCCTACCGAGAGGGAAACTGGCTCATATTATGGTAGACATGTGAAGAAAACACGAAAAACATCGCGTGATCAGCCGGTTAGTCAGGCGAGAACCCACTCCCAACTACTCTGCTTCTACGAGTGCTTTGTGATTTTTATCCACTCGGCCACCAAAGTGATTTCACTGATAGAATCACGAATTTCCTTAAAGAATATTACTTATTTTCGATAGGATTAGTATTTACTACGAACACCATCTTCGATGGCACTGTTTTGCATCGTTTCTCACCGCTCTATCTGTCATATATCATTTTACAAATTCATCAAGATCTAAATATGCAAAACAGATAGATATATCAATTGTCATTTGTTTCTTTTTGATATTAAAAATTGTTTATTTATTAATTTTAAATACCATCTCCTCGTTTACAAGTTTCTGTAAATTCGAAATTTCACACCTTTATGAAAATTGACGGTATTGCGTCAATTCACATAAAGATATGAAATTTCGAATTCATTGCATAATGTGTAAGAAAAAAGATTTCTTTAATTNGTTAAAAATAAACAACTGACACTTAAGTTAATCGTCCAACGACCGCCTAATCGTATAAAAGACATCGAGGGACGAACTTTGATGTCTCGTAGGACCTAAAATAATTGATTTTCTGAGATTTGATGTTTATAATGATATATTCGACGTTTCCTTTCGAATGCACTTTTTCATTTTTCTGTAAGAAGTGTGCTTCTACTCAAGAATTTCGTGTCAGTCAATAAGTGAAACAAACGAAGCTTTATTTTGTAGCTACAAGTCACTTCTCTGTATAAGTCTTCACATTATTAGTGGGAATTTCCAGATTTCCGTTATAATTTCCGTATAAATTTTACCAGAGAAACCATGCCAAATCGCAATTCGAATAAAAATATGAAAAACTTTGATATATTAACAGAGCTAGAAAACCGTATTCCTGTATGCTACTTTGATAATTCAACCTTTGAATACTAATAATCAGAATGGTTGTAACTTTAAAATTTAAATGATAACCCCGTGCACCATTTTAAAAAGTTTTAATGATAAATCCAATATTGTAAATTATTTAAAATCAAACAAAACATTCAGAAGTTATAATAGAACCTCATATATTAAGCAGTTAATAGAACCTTATCTACTATGTTCTGTTAAATGTATATATGCAATATTTTTAAGAATATATTCAGTGAAAATAATGAAATCTTGTAGTAAATATTGAAAATAATTAGTCATCAGACAGTACAAATAACATCTTAAAAGCGAACATGTTATTTGTCCTATCCGATTAGGGTTTTTAAAGCCGAAACACGATACATCCTATTAAAATAAAGGATAAATTTGCATCAGACTTTATATGTGAACCTTTCGGCATAGAATCCTAAATAAGATAATTCAAATATATGTAAAGAAAATATCTTATCTACCAAATGGAAGAAATAACCTAAATTTTTCCTATGTAAACATCGTATTGAGATACATACCTACGTTTAATGAACTTTAGGTATTAAAATCAAAACACACACAGCCGAGAAAATGTAAACGAGCCGTTCTGCGGAGTATGCTTGTATATTCACTTTCATCTAAAAAAAATTTAAAATGAAAAGACAATGTAATATTATAATTTCGAATTGTGATTTCATTACATTAGTAAAATTTTCTATTTTACTACTGTACAAGTACATTTTTATCTGAAATATTAACAACACTATTACTAAGCCAATGCATTTTTACACTCAAGGCTTATAAAAGATTCATAATAGATCTATCATCTTGTATAATTCCCGACTAAACAATATTCGAATGAAAATTCACATAAACTCTTTACTGTTTCATAAACAATCTAGAAATTCTCATACAAATCATTGATATATTCATTCTTTTCTATACGATTCGTTAAATTGAGATGGATTCCAGCGGGCAAACCAAATGAACTAGTACAAGTAGATAATGAAATCAATAATATTTAAATAAGTGTATACAGTATTTAAATCAACATCAGAATATATCATCTGTCCATGGGTCAAACTGACCATTTCTCAAATATGCACAGTGGTGTCTCGATACTCGAACTTAATTCGTTTCGAGTGCTGATCTGTTCGGATACCGAACGAATTTTTCCCATAGAGAATAATATAAATTACATTAATCCGTTCCAGAAGCCCAAAAAAATACTCTAAAAAGCGTTTTAACTATAATTAAATACAGATTTAACAAATAATTTACAACCTTAGCAGGTGTAAATCATTTTAAAAAATCTAAACGCAATAAATATATGTAATAAATGCAAATTTATTCTCACTTTACTTGTGACTTTGGAGAGTTGATGATGTGTGTGGAAGGTGTTAAAATTAAAATATTTGTTATTGATAAAAAAATTTATTGTAATAGGTCGTGTTTGTTCGGTACTGGGCCGAACAAACCAGTTAACTACCGACGATTTTTTCCCGTATAAACATTCAAATACTGAATTATTAGAGTTGAGAGAAGTTCGTGTACCGAGATATCACTGTATATATTTGAGAAATAACTGTATAGTTATGGGATAAAATGTTACATCAACTAAACTTTATAAGTAATGACATCGATAATACTAAGAAATATATATATGAATTGAATGTTGATTAATTGTTACTGTTATCGTATTAATTAACAACAATAAAACTACTTTCACTGTTAACTCTAATATTGCTAGAATTTCTCTCTTTCTCCGAGAGAATTAAATATTTTGATCGGTTGATATTATTACAAATATTTTAATGGTCTTATTTATCAAAATTGGCTTTCACTCCAACTTCGCTCGTTTAATCTTTTTTTTTTTATCGTCTAAATCAGTGTTTCTCAACCTCTAACGAATCGTCGCCCCCTTCAACGTAGTATCGCCCCCTTCAACGTAGTATCGCCCCCTTCAACGTAGTATCGCCCCCTTCACTTCAAAATTCCAATGCCGAGGGCCAAGGCTAACGCCAAATTCGTACTGCATTGAATAGACTAGTGACTAGTATAATGTTATTTGTTTAATTATTGTACGATATAACGAATAAAATATCCAATTATTCTTACTATAAAGTTTTTCTATATCGTCCAAAAAATTGTTTTTCGCCCCCCAAAATATAAATTGTTACTAATCCCCCCTCAACATGGAAAAACGCCCACATGGGGGCGATATCGCCCACGTTGAGAAACACTGGTCTAAATCTATCCCAACAACCTTTCTTCTACCGTATATCGCAAAATCTTAATAATTTTGATGAATTTTTACATCTTGATCTTCCTGATTTTAAATTTAAATGTAAAAAAAAAATACTGGTTTAAGGGGTGTTATTTGTTTTTATTATATGTTATTGTAGGGGACAGGAAATCAAATGTTTATCAAGACTTTTCCTCTAAATGAAATAAAATAAATAAAAATGAATTTACAAACCCTATATTTAAACTGTTTATTTTATGTATTACAGCTCTCCCTTGATAGTCCGACGTTTTTTTTTTAATCCGACATGCTCAGTAGTCCGACGCACCTCCCGTCAAGGTATCCGTCCCCGTTACGTGTCTTCTTGCACAGAAGCATGTCGCGACGTGAATCTCCCCATCCAATTCTTACACGATGACACATTTCGTGTGTTTTCTGTGAGCAGTTCTGTTCGAACAGTTGGAGTAGGGAATATTGTAAGCTACTGCTAGCAAAACAATGCAAAATATGTAATTATTTTCGGTAATCCGGACACTTTTGGTAATCCAACATCCCTTTGGTCCCATACCTGTCGGACTATTAAGGGAGGACTGTATTATTAAAATGAGCTATTCATGTTTACGACCTTATATTAATATTTATGCTTTATATTTTCGTTCTAAAAAATTACAAATCAATATTATTTTTGTACTTTAGCATTTCTGATTATCGTATTTCTCTTATTCGTGACTGTAACTGATTTTTCTCCATTAAACATTTCAGCTTTAATTAAAAAAGGTAAAAAAAAAAAACATTAATTTCTCTCCCTTTAAAACTACTACTGCTTTTCTATAATTACACTTTTTTTTTTACTTTTTATATCTTACAACGATTACGAAACAAATGTTAAAATGACAATCACTAAATGAACGTTTTTAAATGCAATTAAAGATGTCTTTAGGTCTAATTTTGATAAAGATTACAGATAACAAGTTAGTTTTAAAGGAAATAAATTCGTTTCCCCATAACATTTAGCAAAACTATTACGAAAACTTATTTTCTGTGAATTTCAACTGAATTAATTTAAGCAATTTAAGCAATTAAATACTTATTTCATTTCTAAATTAACAACTAAAATAAAACTACTTGAGGTTTATGAAATCTGATATTGTGTGTTTATTCAATAATAAACAGATGTAGTAGAAATGATAAACAGCAAATAACTACTTTATGATAAGAGATGATTATCGACATTATACATGAAAGTTTAAAATTACAAGTAGACTCCCCTATAACACTGTAGATAATTCCGTGTTATATGAATTCCATGTTGTACGAGTCACTTAGATTTTACAAATACGTGAGCCTTTCACAGCTCGGCACACGTATTTGTACAATCTAAGTGACTCGTACAACATGGAACTCATATAACACGGAATTATCTACAGTGTTATAGGGGGGTCTACTGTATTGTCGACGTTACTGATATACTTAACAATAATTTCAAAAGTAGATATGAATTGATTTTAATATTTTAAAATTTTAACAGTATATTTTATAATTCGTAGTTACAGAGACTACTCGTAATTAAACCTCTGTACTTTTCTGGATCATTGAATACTAAATTGAATAAGTCTCTAACCACTTTATGAAATGATTTTCAGTACGAAAATCATTGAAAAAGGACGAAGGATGAAGAATTCCCATATTTTCTTCTGTTATTTTCTAGTGAAATTTTTAAAAAATTAATAATCGTCCTGTCTATTTAGTAGTTTTTACTAGTTTTATTAATGATTTTCAGTAACTTACTTTAATTACAGTACAAATGAGCTTTAACAATGATTTCAAAATAATATAAGAGAGGTTAATATTTCTTTTTTTAAGTAAGTAAGTAAGTAATCTTTATTAGCGTAGAAGGCTTTCGCCTGTTACAAGGGCCTTTTATTTTGATGAAATGCATATTCACATATCATATAATAATTTTTTAACAATATTAGTACATACACTTATCTATATAATTATATTAATATTTTGTCATAATTATTATTTAATTAGTTGTTTTACATAGTTATATATCATATAAATCGTGTTAATATCAGCTCTATCTAATGTCTTATACATTTCCAGCTCACTAGTACATTTAGCCAGTGGTTCAATCTGGAGTCTTTGTAGTTTATCCTTTTCGTTACAATTTTCACATAAAATATGAATTTTAGATAGATTTTTTGTACAATTTGGGCACTTAGAATGGGTATAATCTATATATTTGTCATTTATAATTATTCCATTTTTATTTAACCTAATGTGCATAAAAAACTTTTTAATATTGAAGGCTATATTTGTACTTTAATATTTCTCTCTTATAAAGTATATTTTCAATAATTAAATTTGTTGTAAGATAATAAATCAAATATATTAATACTATAAAATTTAAACAAAAAAAGCTCACTAGTGACCGATTGAATAAAACCATTAAATCATTGGTCACGGGTTTGCGCTTGACCAACTGGGTTGGCCACGTAAAGTTTTCGGGTTTTCTACACCTAAATACTGGCCAGTTTCCGAAGGAAAGTCCTTCCAAGAGGCACTCTCCCTCGACAGATCGCTCATATGTTGCATTGCCTTAATCCCATCAATATTACAATACAAAAAAGGCTTCCCATTACTATTTCAATCAATCGAAAAGGAACCAAAATATGTACTAATTTCTGATATTCCGTTTAAACCTGTTTGATAAAATTAAAAAGTATTACACTACATTAAACGTCGACTTAAATAATTTTAAGTTGTCAATTTTTAAAATTGTATTCCAAAGAAAAAAGCATATATTAATTGTCTAGGATTATGCAATATTTACCAAATGTTCAATACACAGTATTGATTACTTATGCGTCATCATTACAGGTATAGTCTATATTTTACATTTACCTTTATCTTTGACATTATACTTTTACATTATAGTTTCTAATATTCATTTATATGTGTATGCAATTACAGTATTATAAAACAATATTTATTTTTAAAAAATAAGATTATTTAAGGTATTCAAAGCAAAATTCAGTGAAGAGAGACATTTCTATCGTAAGACGATTGTTTTTATGCACTTCTTACAGGAATACAATTCTATTTGAATTTTTTAAAATTTTATATCCTGTGATTGTAACAAAACATAAAACCTGGTAAACTTATTAAACTATTTAAATCTATACAAATATCATTATAACTTTCTAGTAAATACTAACATAATTTTTAACTACGTGTCAGTAATAAAGCAAAAAGCTGGCAAGAGCTCTCACTCGACTTTCCCGGCACTCGAACAGGTTAAGTCTGACCCCACACTAGATACGACTCTTGACTCTCCTGTATTTTCCCACCCTATTCATCTTTAATTACCAAAATTTAACATCATCAATG